TTAGAAGACTTTTTAGAAAGGAAACATTTAAAAATAGCCTGTAAAACCTGCAAGTAGCCTAATCTAACCTAATTGACCTATCAAAAGTTTTCTGAACCCTGGATACTGAGTGACGAAGTGGAAAAAGGGATTTTGAAGCCTGATTTGTTCTGGAATGCTTACTTTGTCGATTATTGGCAATGTGACCTTAATGACATGATTTTGCCTCGCAGAAATAACCACTTGGGGGTAACTTAGGTGAGATACTGAGCAACACACTTCTTGTTTACTCATATTTGTTCTTCCCACCGCTCAGGCTGTCCCGTACCCCACAGTATAATAATCACACAGTGATGGAGGTCTAAATACACCAGTCAAGGAGACCTTCAAGCAAGGTTTGGAGGTCTCTAAATTTGTCATTGTAGACACCAGTTCACGTTTGAATACTGGGTCAGAGCTAATATCCTTTTATATTCAATGAAAGAAAGACCACTTACTCCCAATACTTTAAAAACATAAACTTTCAGTGAATAAGCCTTATAGCCAGGATAAGTCCAGGCAAAATATGAAACATGAAACAGGCAGGATGGGTTCCTTGTGCATTCCAGAGTCCAATGCTTCTCTTCACTTTCCCTTTTCTAAACCCTACTCATTCACTCTCCAACCATCTTCTCTATGCTCTGGATATGGTTTGGTTCTAGGTCCTCACCGAAATCTCATGTTGAATTATAATTCCCAATGTTAGGAAGGGGCCTGGTGGGAGGTGATTGGTTCATGGGGTTCGACTTCCCCCTTGCTGTTCTCTTGATAGTGACTGAGTTCTCACAAGATCAGGTTGTTTGAAAGTGAGTAGCACTTTCCCCTTCACTCTCTCTCCTGCTGCCATGTGAAGATTGTGCCTACTTCCCTTTTGCCATGATTCTAAGTTTCCTGAGGCCTTCCCAGCCATGCCTCCTGTACAACCTACAGAACCGTGAGTCAGTTAAACCTCCTTTCTTCAAAAATTACCCAGTCTCAGGTAGTTCTTTATAATAGTGTGAAAACAGACTAACATAGCTTTCTTCCCCTATCAAAAGCTTATTGACAGGCAGAATCCATAACTAAATATTCTGGTGTTGTCCCATCCTGGGAACACGTGCTGTTTAACAGAAAGCTCTGTGGGAAGGGAACAAACATGAATCATTACGGCTCAACATGGGCCAGCAGGGTCCTAATAGGTGCTGGATTATCTAGTTCTCTAAGTAACACTGTGAGGTAGATACAGTTATCTCAATTTTTACAGACAAGAAAACAGAAAGCAAATAGAGACAATAGCAAGAAAATGTATGTCGGGAATGAGTGTGTAGTGTGTATATGGATGGGACGGCGTTGGTGGGGGGCAGGTCAAGGAGAGGAGTGAGAATGTGCCCTGAGTGAGCAAATCACATCAACTTTGCAAATTGAGTCCTGGAACTCTCTGAACACAATTACGGAGTCACTGTTTCTTGAACATACTATACTGTTCACAGCATTTGTCTTACAGCTGGGCCTTCTTGTTCTTCTTGTTCTTTCTTCTTCTTCTTATGCTAGTGGTCTTGGCTGAGTAATCGCAGGAAAATCAGAGACTTCCCTTTTTTTTCTAAGACCCTTCATTCATTCTAATCTAACGTGTTCAAAGGTGGGTATCAAAACTCATAAAAGTAAGAATTATTACTGCAGGCAATCCCATTCCTTCTGTCTCCAACCAGTTTTGATCCTTAAACGTTCACTGTTCTGTTTTTAATTCTATGGTCTTTCAAATTCTGGTATCTTGTCTTTCACTTTGGTCTTCAGTGTAGTCAAAGTAAAATTTTAAGGGGAAAATAAGAGGTGTGATCTTCTCACAACTTCATGAAGTTGATTCCAATATGACAATTGACAAGTGCAGGAAGGCAAAAGTCTCTTAAATCAGATGTTTCCAAAAAGTAACCTTGGACATCCACTGCTACTCTACTGTCTTCCAAATAAGTTACTGTTTTTGCTGCTATGGAAATATAAATTACATTGTGATGAAATTACTCAGTTTTCTCTGTGCAAGGAGGCAGAAAGGATAGCTTAAGAATTATATTTGATTAAATCTCTATTCATAAAATAATTATAACAGTAATTCAGTCACTCTGTAATTTTAGTAAAGGCAAGGAAAGCAGACTTTTGACTTGAGAAATATGTTTTATCTGTATTTTAATCAAAAATGACTTATATACAACAATCTGCATTTAAAGAAAAACTTGATATGTTCAAATTCATACCTAACAACATTAAAAATTATTTCTGAATTTTCATAACCCATGTAATTGTATATGAATGACATTAAATTTTGCAAACTAAATAAAATAGTGATATAACCTGCTCAACAAATTTCGTCTAGGTTGAATATATTCACTCAAGAAAAAAATTATTTTTATTGTACTTGAAGGATTCTGATGATAGAAACAATATTTTATATGATAGCAAACAATTAGTAACAAATGAATTCAGTCCTTTTCAAAGCATCATTGAGCACTTCAGAAAATCTGAGTGTTGGGAGGAAAGAGTTTATTAACCTCAGTCCTTTATTAGTGAGAAGATAACCATGCAGACATTATTTCGTCGATAAGATATTCCTGAATAAATAGCGGATAAAGGCAAATCTAAGATATAAAAAATAATATTCTGCCATGCCCTTTTCCTTCCTTCCCTTCTTCCTTCCCTCCCTCCTCCCTCTTTTCCTTCCTTCCTCCTCTCCTCCTTTTCATGTTTTTCCGTGCCATCCTATGGCCAAAGAAATTTTTATACCTTTTTGTTGCACAGGAAATTAAAATAAACTTCATGATTCCATAAGAGATGTAACAGTTGTGTTTTCTTTCTCATTTTCGGCAGTCGATTTATTTTCAGGGCTGATGTGTTTAGAGTGGATTTGAATATATAGGAGGGTAATGAATGGTACTAAAAAAAGTCCATGTTTATACTTCTCCTTTTTATTATGTTTCTACACTAATGTGCATTTTGATAATTAGACAATTATTCTATAGCCAGTTGTATTTGTTAAATCCTAGTATGGAGACTTAAGTAGTCTCTGAATGATTTTTGTGCTAACCTGTAGTTCTCACTGTTGTTCCAAAACTATATCTTTGAACCAGGAAGGTATACAGTTTATTTAGAGGCATTATACTCACCATCTAACTCTGTTATGATTAGTTGTATGACATTTGTCAAATTCCCTAATATTTATACGCTCAGTTTTCTCATTGGTAAAATGGAAATGTCAAAGTTTTTGGGGAGATTAAATGACATTGTGCATAAAGGCATTTATCATGGTGTCTGTACAAAGGCCAAGTAAATGTTCTGCTTCTAAACCTATTCTCCCCAATATGCAAAATATCAGACTATGTTTTATGATTACTTAAACTCATATAAAAATAACTCAGGGATGCAAGAATATGGCTCTTTTAAAAATTACACCAGCATAAAATGTGACTATAAGATGTGTGTGATATTTTTAAATATATGCAGTCTGATATAATCTATTAAATAATCTTGGAAAGTAGACACTTTCCAACACTTTTATCATTGCTCAAAACTTTCTTAGACCTTATTAATGCAAAACTCGCCAGGAGCAAATTCTGAGCCATATGAAAAATCAGCATTATTGTTTTTATTTGACTGAAAATCAAGTCTAACTTTGAGGGGCGAAGAAAGTCCAGTGAGATACTCTATCTCATTTGAAAGAGCTTTGTAATTCATAAGGAGCTATGTAGATATGAAGTGTCACAGAATGGGAAGTATTAATGGGTAAGTATCCTTACTGAGATATTAACAATTTTGCCATAGGCTCTTAAAGAAATTCTGAAAACCCCTCAGTGTTTGAAGTAGTGTTCTAGCAGCACCATTATTGTCCCCAAAGTGCCCACCTGCAGATAAACAACACCCATCTGAGCATGTAAAACTTAGTTTTTTTTTTTTAAATCATTTCTTCTGTTGACTTCACCGCTCTGCTTTTGTTCATTTCTTGCCATATCTGAAATTATCTTCTGTCAGTTAATTTTATCCATATATCTTAGAATGCTAAAGCATGCTCTTCAGTTGGTTTGTCTTAAGAGTTAAATTTCGCTTAAGTTGGGTCTGAAATTTTGCTGTAGCAAGCCAATCATGACTTGGGCTGGAGGGCAGCAAATGAGTGCCTTAGTATCCCTTTTTCCCAAGACTGATGTAAATGAAGAGCTGAGGTTGAAGTAAAAAGTTTTCAAAATAGGTTTAAGTTTGTAATTTGTGGAGTGTGTCATGGTGAGTGCAAATGAGTTATTAACCGAATGGATCAGGGAATGTTAGGTGTGGAATGGAAGCCTAGGAAAATGGCATCCAGAACTGATAGGTAGAATTAACACTTCTGGTTGTGAGGCATGTTTGAACGGAGAGTAAAACGTGATTGGGCAGCTTAAAAATGTTGTGATTTAAACGAACCATCCTTAGATCATTTTGTTAACTGAGAACTTAAGAGAGAACAAGGTTTGATGGTATGTTGTTTCCTGATTGGCAGAAATGGATTTTACCTCATTAATGTTTGCAGTTGGCTGTGTCTTGTTTACCTCTTTGTCAGAAGGCATTTCAAATTTGTTTGTTTTTTAATTTGAGGTCAGCAATTCCCTTTTCTATTCTGTGACTGTATTAATTATCTTTTCTATGTTGACTGGATATGATACTTATTAATAAAAACTAACTTCTCTTTTCCTCAAGTATAGCCATAGACATATCCTATTAGCATCTACTGGGGCAACTTATCCCAACTGAGAAATTAAGGACTGTTGGTTTGCAGCTCCATTAATGAGCAAATAGGAAAAAATCTAAAGCATTGCATATCATATTTGCTGTACATGTCTGCAGATATTCATAGGAACCTTAGAAATGCATAGGTAGCCAATTGTTCAACATCAGGCTTTAAAAAGAAGGTAGTACATCATATTTTGAAAATGGGTGAAAATATCATTTTTGCCAGAAGAAAATGACAAATATTCTTCAAAATTTTTCACCAAATAATTAACAGCTTTATTGGAGATATTCCTAGAGCAGGCATGTGCTTCCCAACATAGCTAAATCTATGAGGCAAAGAGAGAGGCGGGAGCAGAGGCACAATACCAAAGATGCATTTTGAATATAATGGAATACAAATCAGACGTCACTAAAATACTGAGCTTTAAGGTTCATCAGTGGCTAAGTTACAGTGGGTCAAAATTATCAAGGTTCTTCAGTGAAATTATGTGAAACGCTTCTCAAGAATCTACCCCATAACTTAGAGACATTCAGACGTTTCCTTCTACAGCTTGCAAAAATGGAAGAGTCTCTTGAATATGCATGCATACTACTTGCCATTGTATGCTTTGATTGATTTCATGATGTTCTAATTTCAGTACTTTAAGAAATACTGCATACGGTTTTCATTGTCTGGCAAATACACTTTCAAATGAGAACATTTTTAATTTAGAAAGGAAGGGGCTTGGAATTGATAATAAAATTACAGATACACTAAATGCTTCTTATTCAAAGTCACTTCTGTGTCCTTCACATCTTCAGATTTAATATATTAGAAGTTAAGAAGGTTTTCAGTTAGATTCAAAAAAGACATACTTTTAAAGTGTGTCATTTAAACGTTGAGTTTTAGGGACTTTATGACTATTTCAGCTTGGCTTCTGAGAAGTTAATGTGACATATCTTTTCATAAATATAATTGTTACATTGAAAAAGGATCTCTTATTCCTGGCATATGCAGAGAGAGAAGAAATCGAGACTTCAGTAAGGTATGTCAGGACAGACGAGTTCAGTTACCAAATCCCAGGAAGTAACATCACCACACCTATCAGAGTGAATGTCATAGATTCAGTCGCCGCTGCACATCCTGCTCCCGTTGTGTCTAAAGTACTGCCAGTGTCTGTTTGATGGATTTGCTTTACATCACTGAAGTTCATATCATCTGGCATCCCTGTAGAGGCAAATAAGAAAGCACAGGATGATGCATGACCACTTCCCCATAATACGTCTAGAACAACTCTTAAACTCAAAGTGTGGACAGCTTGGTTTTTGGGTAGCATTCTCTGTGTTCGCCTAACTCTAAATGATTAATATGATACAGGTATTCCCATCCTACTTAAATTGGAGAGTTCAAGCTCTTGGGTGAAAATTCTCAGAAATATTATAAGAGCAAAGTGAAAATATTTTTAGCTTTTTAAAATTTTTGGAACATTTCTGTGCCACTGGTAAGAAAGTAAAGACATTTAATTAATTAATATATCCTGAGGTATGGGATAGTTCTTGTTTCAGAGATGTATCGACTTCAGTAACTGAAAACTTTTCCTGTGAAAATAAAATCAGGTGAGGGAATATAATTGAATAAAACATTTTTTAAAAGTAGAATTTATACAGATCATATTTTACATTAGAATAAAGTAGGCCTAAGATCTCTTTAAAATTTATTTTATTTTTACTTGACAAATTTTATCTATACTGCTGGGGTACAATGTGATATTTTGACATGTATACCAGGAGGAATGATAAAATCAAGCTGGCTAGCGTATCCATCACCTCACATCCTTAGCATTTTTCTTGTGGAGAGAACATTTGAAATGTACCTTCTTAGCAATTTGGAAATATACAATACATTATGAATGATAGTCACCATGCTGCGCAATGGTCTAAAACATTTCTTCCTCCTGTCTAACTAAACTTTGTACCCTCCACCCACCATCCCCCCTCCCTTCCCCACACCCATCCCCTGGCAGCCACCCTTCTACTTTCCCCTTTTATGACTTCAGCTATTTTAGATTCCACATGTAAGTGAGATCAGGGATAGTACCTTTATGGAAATAGAAAATAGCAAAGAATAATAGCAACAAATGTTAAATTTTATCTTTCATACACACACACAACTGTGAGGATGGAGGTGTAGATATCTATCAAAAGATCAAAGAATTTGTTAATGGGTGGACTGGAGAATGAAGTTAGGGATAAAGTGTTTCATTTAAAAAAAATGCAGGCAAAGTCATAGACCAAGATGCAATCGCATTCTGGTTATTACTTCTGTACGTTATGAAACCTGACAAGTTGAGAAAAAGACTAACCCCTAAATTAACTGGGTTGAAATAATTGCTTTTAAAAGATGTTTACCTTAGTATGATATACTTAGAGAATTACTGATTCATCACTTATTATCTAGTGCCATCAGCATTCTGAGACTGACTGAATTATCTCATGGCATGCCACTATCGGTCACAATTAACAGATTTAAATTCATTGTTACTACAGCCACAAATATTGACATGGTAATTACAGAGAGATTGAAAAAATAAACTTCATATAAGGAAAAGTCAATATTTATGTAATTAGCCCAATACATATATATAATTCAGAAGCTAAGCTCTGCTGCATTCAGAGATGAGAGCATTAAAACGAAGCAAAGCTCTGCTGATCTGACATATTGATTTTACAGTCTGAGCTCTTACATTATTATTCATTGTTTGGGTGCTTGTTTTGCCCTTCTGTGTCATTAGGCAAGATGAATAAACTAGTGATTCCCTGTTTTTTTTTTAAATAGGGACTAGAGTGGAGTGCGAATATTTTAGTCATGGCTTTATACCTTTTGTTAAGCTTAACAAGAAGCTTTGAGGACTCCAGGCAATTAAAAATATATTTTATTCTAAGATAACTACATAAATTTGAGCTTTACAGGATTTACTTTTCATTTTTAAGCATTGTGAATTTGTGTTTGGATTGGATCCATGAAAAAGGTTTTCTTATGCCATTCTGAGCTTATATTTCATTCATTCATGAGCCAGACACTGATTCAGGTTTAGCGGATGCCATCATGGGTGAAAATATGTAAGTAGAAAGATGTTAAATCTTATGCCTGCAAGCCAGACAATGGCAGGAGAGCTTTTCTGCCTTCAATCAGATGCTATTTTACCATCTTACATTGAGGTGTTACTAATAAATGTAACAGTTCTAAGGAATATGGCCTTTGAGTAATAAGTATATGAAAAGAATTCAAGATCTTTTCAGGAGCCTGGCAGTCATAGCTGTAGTTATGGATCAAATCACAACCTTGTCATCTGTAAAAAGACATTAGCATGCCAAAAAGTCTAGCTCCATGATTATTTGATGCAATGATTATTTTCATAAAGAAATTTAATTAACCAAGCTTATAAATTATACCAAGTCTTATAAAGACCTATAAAAGAAAAAATTAGTTTTGAGATTTATTGTATTAATACTTTAAAGAAAAACAAAGTAATTTTTGAATACTCTTATATGCATAATAGCAACACAAAGGTGTCAATAAATTCATAGTTTTGCTCTTGGTGGTTTATAGTCTGATGGGGAAAGGAAATCGTGTTATTAAAAAATAAAGGTAATGTTAATACACAGGTACAGGCCTGGTGATTGGTGCTATGAAATATGGTAGGCTGGGAGCAGTGGCTCACACCTGTAATCTCAGCACTTTGGGAGGCTGAGGCGGGCGGATCACCTGAGGCTGGGAGTATAAGACCAGTCTGATCAACATGGAGAAACAGCGTCTCTACTAAAAATATAAAATTAGCCAGGCGTGGTGGCACATGCCTGCAATCCCAGCTACTTGGGAAGCTGAGGCAGGAGAATCACTTGAACCCAGGAGGCAGAGGTTGCGGTGAGCCGAGATTGTGCCATTGCACTCCAGCCTGGGGAACAAGAGCGAAACTCCATCTCAAAAAAAAAAAAAAAAAAAAAAAAAAAAGAAAGAAGGTAAAGGGATGTAACTTGGTCAGGGAGTGCTCTGCTAAGGAAGTGGTAAAGTGGATTAATTTATAGATATTATCTACAGAGCACTTGCTGTGGTGTTAGGTACAGTTCCAAATACTTCACAAATATTAAGTCATTTAATTTTCACAACAGTCGCATAAAATAGGCACTGATATTATTACCTGTGTTTATAGATGAGAAAACTGGGGCACTAGAAAGTTAAGTGACCACAAGCAGTGGAGCCAAGATCAAATCCAGAAGTCTAGACCCAGTCTATGCTCTGATCACCTGCCTCCCTGATTCCAAGCACATTGCTTGGCACCAACAAGTCAATACTTAAATTGAGAACAAAAAAGATAAATTACGTTGCCTACAAAGTGCATTAGGAGTGTTTTCTCTCCTTGCTTGTCATCTGGGATGGCTGAGTAGGTGCCACTTTGGGGTATTAATCAAGTAACCCAACGTATTCAGAGGTAGAATCCATGTGGGCAAGTTAATGATGGCGAATCAGAATGGCCTGATGAATCTGAGAGGACAGCACCTTCTTTTTGTGATTTACACAGAGGTAGGAGAGTGTAGGTATTTTCCTCTATCTCTATTTCATCTGTCTACGTATTTTAAACATTCTCTTAGTTTCACTAAGGAAAGACGAGTATGTTTAGAAACAGTGTGTTCTATTTTTAATAAAATTGCATGGACAAGAATGTATACATTGTTAATTTGCTCATTCATTTATAAAATCTGTTCACTGCCAGCTCTGTGTCAGGTATTGTGCTGGAGAGTGAATATACAGTATGTACTCACAGCCTTTTCCTGCACACTTAGATGAGTCAAAAAAACCACACACACACACACATACACACACACAAACACACACATATATGTATCTCCAGCAGGTGTCTTTTTCACCATTCCAATGGTGAGAGTGCGGGACAGATGGAATGCTGGGAGCAGGACTCCAGATCCTCTAGATCATTATTTGAATTCAACACTGTTTATCATGAAGTCAAAGTAATTTATTTCTAGAAAATATCCATTTTTAAGGCAGCTATAGTCATGACACCTCAAAAAAGACCTATTACATAGAACACTTTTTATGAATATTGTTGAATGAATAAATTGAATAATGACTCATTTACACAAGAACAGGATAAGGTTGATATTATTTTCCCTTATTCTAAAGATTAGGAAGTTTGATAGAATTACTTCCCTTTATTCTCAATATTAAGAACAGGGTGGAGGAAGTAATTTACTCAAGGTAACATAGCTGTGGCAGAATTCCAATTGTGCCCCGTTCAGATGTGGTCCTCATCAATTCCAGAGCCATACTGTTTGCCACTACACTTTCAAAGCATTGAACTTGAGGTCAAATTCCGGCTTTGCCACAGTCTAGCTGGTTGACTTTAGCTATGACCCACGTTTCTTGGAACTTTCAAATGAGAGCATTTTCAGTAAGAGAGTAGAGTTAATCAAAATATCTTGCTGGCTAAATTATTAAATCAATATTTTAAAAAAATTAGCTAGAATTGTATCCCAAAGCATTGTCTAAAGTAAATGTCTGTGGGACCAAAATGTAAGTAAAAATAATGAATAAGTAAACAAAATATATAGCTCTATATTTTTATTTATATACAGGTGGGTAAAGCCTACATATTTTAAGTCAGAATCTATAAAGAGAAAATTAATAGTTTTGACATCACACACAAAACAGGAACCTTTGGTACAACAGAAAAAAACCACAACACAATTGAGGATCCACACAGAAAAATGGAGAAAATTTTGCATTATAGATTGCAGCAAAAAGATCATGTCTTGAACGTAAAAATAGTTCTTACAATCCATGTGAAAACTATAAATGTTCCTGTAGAGAAACAGTGAAAGACCAGAAATGGATATTTACAATTATAAGGAAAGGGTAAAGTCTTCTTCACTGGACAACAAATAAATACTATCATACACACAACGAAGTGTCAATTATCTGTTGTCCAGGCGTTAAAAGCAAGACAGAGAGGAGAGTGTAACCAGTTGGGCAAGGGTACAGCCCTTCACCAGAGAATTTGCTAAAATATATTACAAGTGTTTAAAATGTTCATTTGCTTAGACCAAATAATTACACTTTTATGAAGCAATTCTGTGGGAATAATGGACGTGTGCACATATTTATTCACAAAATGTTAATCTGTGCATTGTTAATGAAAATCCTAAGCAAAT